AGGTAATGGCAGAAGAGAGAGAGAGAGATGTTTGCAATCCAAATTAGGAAAGCAGAGTGACAACGCTGCTTTTTCACAGATACAATACGAATAAGTGTTGTCCCCCCAGAACAGGAAGTGGGGTGCTGGCGGGATCACCAAGCGAAAAATAAAGAAACTGAATCAAAAACTCCCGTTCTACCAAAAAACCCCAAAAATATATATTCATTAATAAAACAAATTGTAATCAAAAGAAATCATATATATATATATATATGTATATATATATATATATATATATATATATATATATATATATATATATATATATATATATATTTATTATATACAGTATAATCAAATTGGTTGTACCAGCTGTTGTCATGTGTGACCTTATGAAAAATAAAGATAGTAAAAAAATATTTTAGGAAAATATAGAAAACCAATGCAGCCAACTACATGTAAGGACTAGTGAGCTGCAATAAATTATTTAATAATAGTGTATTATTTTGATATATTATTTCATAATATTATGCAATAATATATTTTATAATAATATTAAATTTTTACATTTTACAGTTTAGATAAAATGTAGAAAAGGGAACCATTCTCTCGCTGCACACATACTGAATGTATTGATACACAAGACGGCGGAAGAAAAACTTTGCAGCATGACTAATCTATAACTAAATTTATATATATATATATATATATATATATATATATATATAAAAACACACACACACATGTATAGCTGTATACAGTAATAAATATATATTCATTTATTTATTACTGTATACAGCCATACATATGTGTGTTTATATATATATATATATATATATATTTATTTATTTATTACTGTATACAGCTATAAGTGTGTGTATATATATATATATATATATATATATATATATATATATTATATATATAAATAAAAAAGCACACATATGTAAGGCTGTATACAGTAATAAATAAATTAATATATATTTATTACTGTATACAGCTTTAAGTGTGCGTCTGTGTATATATATATATATATATATGTATAAAAAAGCACACACACACATATGTATGGCTGTACACAGTAATAAATAAATTTATATATATATATATATATATATATATATATATATATATTACTGTATACAGCTATAGATGTGTGTGTATATATATATATGTATATATATATATATATATATATATATACACACACACACATGTATAGCTGTATACAGTAATAAATAAATAAATAAATAAATATATATGTGTACATATATATATATATATATATATATATACACACATACACACATACACACACACATGTATAGCTGTATACAGTTTTATATATATATATATATATATATATATATATATTTATATTTATTTTTAGACCAGACTGGAACACAATTTATTTTGTTTTTACACATTAACAAAAAAAAAAAAACCCAGATGAATATGTGTTCTGGTATAAGAGGAGGCCCCCCCCCCCCCCCCCCCCCCCCACACACACATACCTTTTCCCTCTGAGATGACCTAATCTATTGCAAACCAGCCATATACATCCCAAGATCCAATGGAATAGGTGTCAAAAAACAATCAATAGATCAAAGGCAATCCAACCAACCAAAAATAATGCAACGCTCAAAAAAACCTAATTCCGATTGATTCTGCGATCCCGTCGTACCCCACCGGCCATATTGCATTAGTCTGTACGTGATTCCCATCAATAATCACAGCACTGTAGCAAAACAGTGCGGTGGAATCTGCAACAAAAAAAAAAAAAAGAAAGAAAGAAAAAAAAAACGCTTTGCACTTGGCTGCTTGGGGAATAAACATCCGGCACCTTTGCCAGTGTTTGCGATTTGCCTTTAGCTGCAGCGCTATGTAATCCTATAGAGCGGCTGACTTTGAAACCTTTCAGCTGCTTATGAAAAGATGTTACTTGGGCTACAGCAGCGACAGAACATAATAAAAAACTGCAGCTCGGCTTTGATAGTAACCTTCCTTTTTTTTTTTTGTTTAATTAATGAGATTCAAGCAATGTGCGGCAATGCATGGCAACGCGTTAGCAGCTGTGACGGCGCAACCTTGCACTTTGTTTCTCTCAGCTATCTCATTAATTAAGCACCACCTTACATGAACAATTTTTTTTTTTTTTTGTTATGCATGCCGAACAGAGCACCGCATCGCCGCCCATGCCAAACAGCACTGGATACAATGTAGCAGGTTCAAGACTCACCGGAATCGTTCACGCTGCAACAAGATAGGCGACCAGCATCGCAGCCCCAAGTTAGCGGCATCAACGGCGTCCGTCTAATAAGAGCCCAGCATCCGTAATTCTTCTCTTTTACTCGGAGGATGTGATCGGAATACACAATCTAGCTTCAGGATTTTCTTTTCTTTTTTTTATGCACAGCGCCTTCCGATGAATGAATTCAGTCCCAAGCATCTGTAACTTTGAATCGGAAAGGTGAAGGGTGGAAATTCCAAGAAAGAAGAAGAAAAAAAAAAAAAGATTAATAATACTGATGCAAAACCCAGAGCAGCTTTTTGCTTTTTTTTTTTTGCTTTTTTTTTTTTTTTTTTTTGCTTGCTTAAGCGGTGCCTTTGCACTCAGGGAATTGCTGAAGCCTGCTCTGTATCACTAGACAAAGCAGAGCTAAGCAAGCAGGTCTGTGCTGAGAGGAGGAGGAGACCGCATTACAGAGGAGAGGGTGAAAAAAAAATGTGCTGCAGCCAATGGCCTGTGCGCAGGCATCCTGATAAATATTCATGGCGTTCCCTCGACCAATGGGGGTGTGAAGGGGCCGGCCGCTATTAAAATCACGCTTTTAAATCAAACTGAGTCATTCAGGTCTGGAGAGGGGACATGGTTGCAGGGCTGGCAGTGTTGGAGCGTTGGAGCACTGCGGTGTGATGGTAATAGTGGGAGCTCGCGCTGGTCGACGATTTTTTATTGATGTTCGCATGCTGTTGTCTTACTCCAGGCGGCGTCACGTGATATTATTGCAGGGTTCTGGAGACATTCGCTCTGACCTTAACAGAAAAACGCTCAATAATATCAATAGACCTGCGACAAAATGGATAGAATGTAACAAATGGATACTTACAGACAGGGGCGGACTGACAACTCATGGGGTCCCCGGGCAATAGGGGATCATGGGGCCCCCGGGCAATAGGGGCTCATGGGGTCCCTGTGTCCTTGCCCAAACTCAAAAAAGCCTTTGAAAAAGGTAGCAGGGGCATCTCATGGGGCCCCCAGGCAATAGGGGATCATGGGGCCTCCGGGCAATAGGGGGCTCATGGGGTCCCTGTGTCCTTGCCCAAACTCAAAAAAGCCTTTGAAAAAGTAGCAGGGGCATCTCATGGGGCCCCCAGGCAATAGGGGCTCATGGGGTCCCTGTGTCCTTGCCCAAACTCAAAAAAGCCTTTGAAAAAGGTAGCAGGGGCATCTCATGGGGCCCCCGGGCAATAGGGGACCATGGGGCCCCTGTGTCCTTGCCCAAACTCAAAAAAGCCTATGAAAAAGGTACCAGGTGCATCTCATGGGGCCCCCTACTGACCCCCGCCATCGGGCAGTGCCCGAGTTTCCAAATGGTCAGTCCGCCCCTGCCTACAGATAGAAAAAAGAAATACTTAAATGTAACAAATGGATACTTACAGACAGGGGCGGACTGACAACTCATGGGGCCCCTGGGCAATAGGGGATCATGGGGCCCCTGTGTCCTTGCCCAAACTCAAGAAAGCCTATGAAAAAGGTACCAGGGGCATCTCATGGGGCCCCTTACTGACCCCCAGTCATCGGGCAGTGCCCGAGTTTCCAAATGGTCAGTCCACTGCTTACAGATAGAAAAAAGAAATACTTTACATGTAACAAATTGATACTTACAGACAGGGGCGGACTCACAACTCATGGGGCCCCCGGGCAATAGGGGAGCATGGGGCCCCTGTGTCCTTGCCCAAACTCAAAAAAGCCTATGAAAAAGGTACCAGGGGCATCTCATGGGGCCCCCTACTGACCCTGGGCCCTCGGGCAGTGACCGAGTTTCCAAATGTTCAGTCCACCTCTGCTTACAGATAGAAAAAAGAAATACTTTACATGTAACAAATGAATACTTACATACAGGGCGGACTGACAACTCATGGGGCCCCCAGGCAATAGGGATCATGGGGCCCCCGGGCAATAGGGGATCATGGGGCCCCTGTGTTCTTGCCCAAACTCAAATAAGCCTTTGAAAAAGGTACCAGGTGCATCTCATGGGGCCCCCTACTGACCCCCAGTCATCGGGCAGTGCCTGAGTTTCCAAATGGTCAGTCCACCTCTGCTTACAGATAGAAAAAAGAAATACTTTACATGTAAAAAAGGATACTTACAGACAGGGGCGGACTGACAACTCATGGGGCCCCCGGGCAATAGGAGATCATGGGGCCCCTGTGTCCTTGCCCAAACTCAAAAAAGCCTATGAAAAAGGTACCAGGGGCATCTCATGGGGCCCCCTACTGACCCCGGGTCCTCGGGCAGTGCCCAAGTTTCTAAATGGTAAGTCCGCCCCGCTTACAGATTGAACCACAAAATATTTTACATGCAACAAATGGATACTTTAGGGCAGTTCACGCTACATGCGCTTCAGTGTGCATTTTTTTCTGCATCAAAAACGCACAGAGAAAGTAGGTTATATGGTGGTCAATGTCATAGTTCACAGCAGTGCTTGCAGTTCCAGTGCGTTGCAGAAAAAAAAAACAACGGGCTGCATTTTTCCTGCACAGAACTGTACTGGAATGTGGTAAAACACATAAAAAATGCACTACAAACACATAAGAAAACGAACCAGAATGCATCAAAAATGCGCATGCAGAAACACATGTAGTGTGAACTGGTCCTTAAAATGTTACTAAACCCAGGACCCTGCATTCACTATATCCCCTCTCCCCGGACCCTGCATTCACTATATCCCCTCTCCCCAGACCCTGCATTCACTATATCCCCTCTCCCCGGACCCTGCATTCACTATATCCGCTCTCCCCGGACCCCGCATTCACTAAATCCGCTCTCCCCGGACCCTGCATTCACTATATCCGCTCTCCCCGGACCCTGCATTCACTATATCCGGTCTCCCCGGACCCTGCATTCACTATATCCGCTCTCCCCGGACCCTGCATTCACTATATCCGCTCTCCCCGGGACCCTGCATTCACTATATCCGGTCTCCCCGGACCCTGCATTCACTATATCCGCTCTCCCCGGACCCTGCATTCACTATATCCACTCTCCCCAGACCCTGCATTCACTATATCCGCTCTCCCCCGGACCCTGCATTCCCTATATCTGGTCTCCCCGGACCCTGCATTCACTAAATCTGGTCTCCCCGGACCCTGCACTCACTATATCCGCTCTCCCCGGACCCTGCATTCACTATATCCAGTCTCCCCAGGACCCTGCATTCACTATATCTGGTCTCCCCGGACCCTGCATTCACTATATCCACTCTCCCCAGACCCTGCATTCACTATATCCGCTCTCCCCGGACCCTGCATTCCCTATATCTGGTCTCCCCGGACCCTGCATTCACTAAATCTGGTCTCCCCGGACCCTGCACTCACTATATCCGCTCTCCCCGGACCCTGCATTCACTATATCCAGTCTCCCCAGGACCCTGCATTCACTATATCTGGTCTCCCCGGACCCTGCATTTCCTATATCTGCTCTCTCCGGACCCTGCATTCACTATATCTAATCTCCCCGCACCCTGCATTCACTATATCCGGTCTCCCCGGACCCTGCATTTCCTATATCTGCTCTCCCCGGACCCTGCATTCACTATATCTGATCTCCCCGGACCCTGCATTCACTATATCCGGTCTCTCCCCGGACCCTGCATTCACTATATCCGCTCTCCCCGGACCCTGCATTCACTATATCTGGTCTCCCGGATCCTGCATTCACTATATCTGGTCTCCCCGGACCCTGCATTCACTATATCTGGTCTCCCCGGACCCCCCCCCCCCCGCATTCACTATATCTGGTCTCCCTCGGACACTGCATTCACTATATCTGGTCTCCTCGGATCCCGCATTCACTCTATCTGGTCCCCCACAGTACACACAACATGGAAATGCAATTATTTTAGTAAATATAAACTGCTATATACCTTTTCTCATCAGAAGTATATACCAGTCTTGTGACTTCTATCATGTCCAGCAGAGCACTGGTTAAAGCTTGTAGGAGGAGTTTTCATTCTCCCCTAATTGTCCTATGAGGCTGCATAACCCCTGACTCTCTGGACAGTGCTGATTGGCCCGGTGCCGATCATATGCCCCCTCCCGAAGAAAAAAAAAAAACTATCTAGCAATACACACCAAGCATGAGCATGTGCAGTTCACCCCCAAGGCTCTGACAGGATCAAACAGCCTTTTTACACAATGCAGAGGATTAACCCCTTAGGTTCCACAATGAGTATAACAAGCATGCTTTACTGCATCTACAGACTGATTGTACTGTTGGGGGTTTAGTAACAAAATGGTGGCGTTCACATCTGGGGAAACCGGAAGGGATGAATGCTCATCGGTCTCGGTTCCTATACCATAGAGGTGATCGGAGCCATTCCAGTTGGATCAGAGCTGGCTGGTTGCCTGAGTCTCTCGGTGCAGCTGTTATGTTAGAATTACAGTGGGCAGCTGGGGGGGGGGGGGGTCGTAAAACCATGGTACAGCCACCTGTTTTTACCACCCCCCAGCGGCCAATGTGAAAAATCCCTATGGCTGCATTCACACCTGAGCAAAACAGAAGTGCAGGGAAGCAACGTACATTTCTAGAAACGAGCAAATAACGCGCTAAAACACGTGCGCGCTTGTAGTGCCATTATTTATTAATGGCATCTAAAATGTGGTTAGCAGTCAAGTGTTTTCTGTGCGACAAAACGTGCGTCGCCAAACTCCAAAATGTGGAACTTGAGCTTCTTTGGTGCGTTTTTCATGTGACAGGCAGCCCATTCAAGTCAATGGGCCATTGTGTGCGAAACGCGCCTAAAATGCCCAACGCAAAATGCATCGTGTCGCTCAGGTGTGAATGCCGCCTAAAACGCTTCACAGTCACCAAAGATTCGCTGTGCTCAGGTGCGGGGCAGGCAAGAGACAAGTCTATGCAGTCATTACATGGAAACAATGGATACTTCTAATCCTAACAAATATCTGGGTTACAGCTCTTTTCACACCTCACACGTGCCACGTTTTACAAGCGTTTTGCACATGTATAAAGCACCAAATGTTTGTTCTAGAAGAGGAGAGGGGTTCTAGAGGAGAAGAAAGTTTCTGGAGGAGGAGAGGGGTTCTGGAGGAGGAGAGGGGTTCTAGAGGAAGAGGGGGGTTCTAGAAGAGGAGAGTTGTTCGAGAGGAGGAGAGGGTCTCTAGAGGAGGAGAGGGGTTCGAGAGGAGGAGAGAGGTTCTGGAGGAGGAGGGCAATTTTAGAGGAGGAGAGGGGTTTAAGAGGAGGAGAGGAGTTCTAAAGGAGGAATGGAGTTTGAGAGGAGGAGATAGGTTCTAGAGAAGGAGAGGGGTTTGAGAGGAGAGGGGTTTTAGAGGAGGAGAGGAGTTCTAGAGAAGGAGAGGGGTTCTAGAGGAGAAGAGTGGATTTAGAAGAGGAGCGGGGTTCTAGAGGAGAGGGGTTCTGGAGGAGGAGGAGTGGAGTTCTAGAGGAGGAGGGCAATTCTAGAGGAGGAGAGGGGTTTGAGAGGAGGAGAGGAGTTCTAAAGGAGGAATGGAGTTTGATAGGAGGAGAGAGAGGTCTAGAGAAGGAGAGGGGTTTGAGAGAGAGAGGGGTTTTAGAGGAGGAGAGGAGTTCTAGAGAAGGAGAGGGGTTCTAGAGGAGAAGAGGGGATTTAGAAGAGGAGAGGGGTTCTAGAGGAAAGGGTTTGAGAGGAGGAGAGGAGTTCTAGAAGGGGAAAGGGGTTCTAGAGGATGAAAGGAGTTCTAGAAGAGGAGGGGCACCTAGAGGAGGAGATGGGTTCTAGAAGAGGCTGAAGGGAATTCTAGAGTAGGAGAGGGGTTTGAGCGGAGAGGGGTTGTAGAGAAGGAGAGGAGTTCTAGAAGGGGAAATGGGTTCTAGAGGATGAGAGGAGTTCTGAAAGAGGAGAGGGGACCTAGAGGAGGAGAGGGGTTGTAGAGAAGGAGAGGGGTTTGAGAGGAGGAGAGAGGGGTTTGAGAGGAGAGGAGTTTTAGAGAAGGAGAGGGGTTCTAGAAGAGGAGGAGGGGAATTCTAGAGTAGGAGAGGGGTTTGAGAGGAAGAGAGGGGTTCTAGAGAAGGAGAGAGGTTTGAGAGGAGGAGATGGGTTCTAGAGGAGGAGAGGGGTTCTAGAGAAGGATAAGGGTTTGAGAGAAGGATAGATGTTTGAGAGGAAGAGAGGGGTTCTAGAGGAGGAGAGGGGTTCTAGAGATGGATAGGGGTTTGAGAGGAGGAGAGTGGTTCTAGAGGAGGAGATGGGTTCTAGAGGAGGAGCGGGGTTCTAGAGGAGGAGATGGGCCCTAGAGGAGGAGAGGGGTTTTAGAGGAGGAGAGGGGTTCTGCATGTGCAAAAAATTATGCAAAGTATTGCGCTGGCTTTATAGGCGCTCCCACTGAAGTGTTTGGGGCCCTTTTTAAACGTAGGATAACTGAGTGTGAACAGGGACAGCTGGAGGAGGTTGTTCACACTACTGGTGCCTTCTGTGATTTTACAATTAAAAAAAAAAAAAAAAGTGCGAACCTCATTGCCCAAAAAGGTGCACAAGCTACTTCTGCGTCACAGGCGCGCACAGGGCAGCTCTTTGAAGCGCACCTTCAGGATTTTTTTTAACTACTTAAGGACCTGGCCTTTTATTGACACTTTTTGTTTACAAGTAAAAATCTGTATTTTTTTTTTCTAGAAACCCCAAACATTATATATACAGTATACTTGGACACAGGCACAATTTTAGTTTTTTGTCAGGTATTTACCAAAACATATTCAAGCTCTAGCTCTATAATGGATATGGGCAGACAGTGCGCACTCTCGGGTTTAATATGAGGGTATGTACATCCAGATTGGAGGAAGGGTTTAGGAATTACAGCTCAGAAGAGTAGCCATCCACCCTTTTTTGAGGAACCAAAATTAATTGGACAACTGAATATAATCATAAATAAAATGTTCAATTTTAATATTTTGTTGAGAATCCTTTACTGGCAATGACTGCCTGAAGTCCGGAACCCATGGACATTACCAAAGACTGGGTTTCCTCCTTTCTGATGCTTTGCCTGAAGTCCGGAACCCATGGACATTACCAAAGACTGGGTTTCCTCATTTCTGATGCTTTGCCGGAAGTCCGGAACCCATGGACATTACCAAAGACTGGGTTTCCTCCTTTCTGATGCTTTGCCTGAAGTCCGGAACCCATGGACATGACCAAAGACTGGGTTTCCGCCTTTCTGATGCTTTGCCTGAAGTCCGGGACCCACGGACATGACCAAAGATTGGGTTTCCTCCTTTCTGATGCTTTGCCTGAAGTCTGGAACCCATGGACATTACCAAAGACTGAGTTTCCTCCTTTTTGATGCTTTACCTGAAGTTGGGGACCCATGGACATGACCAAAGACTGGGTTTCCTCCTTTCTGATGCTTTGCCTGAAGTCTGGAACCCATGGACATTACCAAAGACTGAGTTTCCTCCTTTTTGATGCTTTACCTGAAGTCTGGAACCTATGGACATGACCAAAGACTGGGTTTCCTCCTTTCTGATGCTTTGCCTGAAGTCTGGAACCCATGGACATTACCAAAGACTGGGTTTCCTCCTTTTTGATGCTTTGCCAGACTCTAACTGCAGCTGTCTTCAGTTGTTCTTTGTGGGTCTTTCTGCCTTTAGTTTTGCCTTCAGCAAGTGAAATGCATGCTCAATTGGGTTGAGATCAGGTGATTGACTCGGCCATTGCAGAATATTCCACTTCTTTTCCTTCAAAAGCTCCTGGGTTGCTTTTGCAGTGTGTTTTGGATCATTGTCCATCTGTACTGTAACGCGCCGTCCAATCACCTTTGCTGCATTTGGATGAATCTGGGCTGACACTATCTCTATAAACACTGCAGAATTCATCCGGCTGCTTCTGTCACATCATCAATAAACACCAATGACCCAGTGCCACTGGAAGCCATGCATGCCCATGCCATTACCCTGCCTCCACCCATGCCATCACACTGCCTCCACCATGTTTTACAGATGATGTTGTGTGCTTTGGATCATGAGCTGTTCCAAGCCTTCTCCACACTTTTTTCTTCCCGTCATTCTGGTACAGATTCATCTTAGTTTCATCCGTCCAAAGAATGCTTTTCCAGAACTTCTCTGGCTTTATTAGATGTTTTTTTGGCAAAGTCTGATCTGGCTTTTCTATTCTTCATATATATATATATATATATTTCTTTTTCAGAGGCTCCAGAGAATAAAATGGTGGTCGTAGCAATGTTTTATGTCACACAATTTTTGCGCAGCAGTTTTACAAACAAACTTTTATGGGAAAAAATAAAAAACAAACACAAGATAATGCTACTTTTTTTGGTAAAATATGAAAAATGATGTTACACTGCGTGAATAGATACCTATTGTGCATGCTTGTGGAATGGCGACAAACTACGGTACTTAAAAATCTCCATAGGCGCCGATTTACAAATTTCTACAGGTTACCAGCTTAGAGTTACAAAGAAGGTCTAATGCTAGAACTTGCTCTTGCTCTGACATTCGTGGTGATACCTCACGTTTGTTGCAAACACC